CCCCACCCCCAGCTCCCGCTTCCACAGGTAATACGGAGCCTTTCACTTTTTCTTGGTGAGGACTTTCTTTTGAACAAGTCATCTTTTTCGTTGTTCCAAAACTAAGCTTCGGAGTAAAACTCACCCAATGACCACTGTGGTCTTGCAAGAATGACCGATGGCCCCAGGGAGTGAGGGCCTTGCCCCTGGTCCATGGGTGGAGTTCGGGGGGCACAAGCTTTCTCAAGCTGCTCCCCTACCGCTCTGCCCCGTTCTGAGAGGCTCTTAGCTTCTCTGCGTCTCGGAGAAACAACGCACAAGGAGCAGGAGAGGACGGCTTCCGGGGAGGCCTGTGGAGGCCAGCTTCTATCTGATTTCCCTGCGTCACCTGGTCTGTGCCCTAAGAGACATGAACTATAAAAGTTTTCAGCTTTGGGGCCTATTTCCTTACTGGAAAGTAAGAGACCACATACTCCCCAGTCTGGTGGAATGGCTCCACCACAGAAGTCAGGGAAGTGCCCAGGATTCCCAGGTTTCCAGCAGCTTCCAGCAGTTTCCAGAGACTTAGGGACACCACTGCCATGTTCCTGGTGGAACAAGACCAAGCATTCTTGGGCTGGGGTATGAGACTTGATGCTGAAAAATGTCACTAAAACTGTACCACATGTGCTCCTCACCTTGTTATCAGCACTAAAGAGCCTGGCAGGAGGCAGCTCTATTTGGGTCTAGACAGGGCAGCACCCACCTGGTCTGGCGTCTGACAAGCCCCAAGAAGAAGCTGTGGAGAAGATAATAATACTGTATGCTTCGCCAACACCTCCTCCTAAGGGGCTCCCGCAGCTGCCATAGTAGCTCTCTCCCAGAAAAGACTCGTAGACTATTTCCAGAGATTCGAGGCTCTGTTGTCTCCATAGAGACAAAGGCTCAACCTGAAATAGCTGCAAAGTCCTGTAACAGAGCTGGTCAGAGGCTACAGCTTCGACTTCGAGGGCTCAGCTTTGGCCCAGAAACATCATAGGCAAGGACTGGCAACCACGGCTAGGTGTGCAGCCCCAGATGAATCTTCTGTTGCTAAGAATCCAAGTGGACAACTAGGACAGGTTTTAGTCTTGGCCGTGCCACTCCCTAGCTGAGCGACTTTAGCTAAAGGAAGAGGGGAATGATTTATTGGGTGCCTAACTGTGCCAGTCGCTGTGCTCACGTGGAAGCCTGGCTGTAGGTAGTAAAATGAAATAGCATGGTGAAATAACGCTCTCTAATATTCAAAGTGTATGGTAAATAGGTAGCTTTCCGACCCATTCAATTTTGGGGACCATCTGAGGGAAGTTTGTAAAAATACAGATTGCTGAGGGTCTGATTCAATGACCCTGAGGATCTGTGTCTTTCAAAACACCCCAGTGCACAGGCGGGTTTGTGAATCAGCTAATATTTACAGATATGAGAGGATGAATATCATTTCCCCAGACATTAGGGATGCCATGATTTTGCTTTCTTTTTCTGCCCAGCTAAGACATGGCCAGCCTGGCCCTGCCCTGGGTCTCTACCCATGAAGTTCTCCATTCCATTCCTTTGCTGATAGAACTTGGCTGCCTCTCAGCACCTCCCAGTAGAGACCTAGAGGGTAAGAAAGAGAAAGGTCTGATCCAATGCATCCATTGCCCTTGGTTACCCAAACCAGGTAAGCTGGTGTGGAAGCAAGACCAGCCACAAAGCTGAGAACCAGCCAGAGTTTGAATAAGCAGATAATGTATCTAGTAATGGTCATGGCTCACCCTTTTGCCTCTGTGTATTGGTTAAATATCAAGGCATACCTCTTGTATTTATTTTACTGACTTTGTGTTTTTCTAAACTTACTGGATACTTTTTCGGGGGAAGAACATCTGGGACAACTTTTTATGTTTGAAATCCCCCAATATCCTTAATGAGGAGCATCATGGCGTGGATGAGTTCAAACAAGAGATCACTGAAAAGTCATTGCCATGAGTTTTAGGGTGAGTGCACGGGGGGGCTCCCTCCTCTATTAAATTTACCTTCCGAGTTTGTTTCAGCTTCAAATAATATCAGTACCATTTACACCCTGTGAGAACAGTTGGCTGGAATGTTGAATGAGAAAGAGCTCAACCTTGAAGCAGATGCATAGGTGAAAACTCAGGCTTTCAGGGTTCCTGGATGTCGGCCCTGGGCAGACACATTCTATAAATGAGGAGACTGAGGCCCACCGAAGTGTCATGACTTGCCGGTTCCCAAATCCATCATCTTTGCTCTGGTCCCCATGCTGCCTCTGTACTTCTGGGTCTGAGTTATCTGTTCGCCTTGCCTTCAATAACAATGTATTGAATCCCTATGATTCAAGGAGCACCTTGCAGCCCAGTTAATTGGCACAAGGTCGGTGTTTAGTAGTTGCGGATGAAGAAAGGATGTGTGTCCTGTTGCTGCTAACCACCTGGGGACCTTGGACAAGACACTTGGGTTTCTAAGCCTCAGCTCCTTATTTGTACCTCAGGAAGTTGGAATATGTGGCTTTTAAGGGCCGTCCCGGTTTCTAGGCTTCTGCAGGTAGGTCAAACTCAGTGTTAGACTTGAATTGCATGAGCAGGAAGGCCAAGAGTTCTGCTCAAAGAATAACCCTCATTGGCTGGAAGGTCCCAGAAAGGAGAAGGCAGGCCAAGAGCTGCCCTCTCCTTCCCCAAGGTCACAGCAGCAGAGGTGAGCCAAGAATAGAAATGAGGCCTCAGATGGAGAGGTCCTGTCCAGCACAGGCAGGTGGACAGGAAGGACAGCGACTTTAGTTCTTCTCCAGCTCTGGGGCCAGGGACCATCCAGGAGGGTAAAAACAGCAGCTCTGGAGATGCTGAGAGGAGTTGAGTTGGCTGACCAGTGAGATGTAGAAATCAGTGCTGACCACTACCTGAGAGGCTCTGCAATTTCTCGGGTGCCAGGGTCTGGGAGGTGAATCACCATGGCTGTTCCCTGGGCCTTTGATACTCTTCCTGTGTCTATTGCTGCAGGCGGGCAGTCATTAGCTCTGGGTGTCCTCCAAACACATGTTTCCCCACTCCGCACTCTAGACCTTCCCTGGAGGCTGAAGGCCCAAGCTTCTGTCAGTCCCGAGTCTAAGCTTTGAGCATGGGAATGTCAGCCCAGTGGCCACTGATCATCTGGTTCAATCCCTGTTTTCAAATGAGAAACTGTGGTCAGAAGAGCTGAAAGACCCAGGCCGGTCTCCTACAGCCCCTGTAATCACACCTCATTTGCTGCTCGTCTCACTTTCTCCAAATAAACATCTCATACACCCCTTTCCTTTCTCACAAGCTCCCCGAGTGCCCAACTGCAGAGCAAGGAGGGCTCCCCTTCTTGCAGAGATCGCTGAAAAGTCATTCCCCCTGCCCCGCTGCAGTCTTTCAACATCAAGTCTGAGCACTTCCTCGCCCAGCTTTTACACAGCAATGATGAAGCGAGCAGGGTGCTTTTCAGCTGATTTGCCTACTGCAGAAACTAACCGCGAGGATGGTCCACTGGGAAAATGGGCCTGGCAGGTCAACAGTATGGAGTAAAGGGACTCTGTTTGCAGTGGGGGTCTGTGTCCGGGGCCTGAGAAAGAAGAAGGAATCGATGAAATGTGCTAAAGGTTGAGGCTCGTCAGATGCCCTTAGAAGACTAGGAGACGGGTTACGAAGAGGCTATTTCTTATCATTACTTAACGAATGTTTCAGTAGCCACTGAGTGCCAGGCAATGAGCTAGGTGCTAAAGATACAAAGAAGGGATGTTAGAGGCTGCTATGTGTGTGGAGCTTGGCATAGTAAGTGCTGCGATTCGGGTCTCGGAAGTGAGGCCCTGGGGGCGGGGCATATGGAGTGACCTTGTGTGAAGGATGACTGGGTGCTGAGAACTAAAGCCTGGTTCTCAGCCCCGGCTGCACATTACAATCAGCTGGGAGCTTGCAGAACCCCCAAACCCCAGCTACACCCCTGACCAACTAAATTAGAATCTCTAGGGTTGGAACCCAGGCATCGATAGTGGAAATTCCAAAGCGAGACCAAGGTGGGGACCACTGGTTCATGGGGGAATTTAAGTCTCAGGTTTGCAGGGGCATGGAATGGCTAAATGCATGACTACTGTTGGTTAGATGGTTTAATATTGAGCCTTCTTATTTAATCTTTCTAGGAAGCCATGAGAATTGCCTTTCCTTCGGATTTGGGTCTGAGGAAGAGCAGGGAGAAGGGAGGAGGGAAGGCAGGAAGAGGGAAGGAGAGAGGAAGAATTGGGGCTGCAGCATCTGAGCTCTTAGTGACGTTGTCCCAAACCACTTCTCCCTTACTGCCAGGACCTCCTGCAGAATTCCCCCAATTCCATGTCTGGAGTCTCCAATAACCCCCAGGGAATCGTGGTCCCAGCCTCAGCGCTCCAGCAGAGCAACATCGCCATGACAACGGTCAACTCACAAGTGGTGTCAGGTCAGTTCAAGGGATTGTGGGGACACCCCTGGGAAGAGAAAGGGTGGCCCCAAGGGGCTTCCAGGGGTGGAGAGCAGAGCACTGCACAAGTGTCCTAGGAAATGGGAGGGAGGGACTCCCCGCTGAGTCTCTTGACTAAAGTGTCCTGTAGGTTCACTGATAATTAGCACCAGGACCTGATTGTGATGGTTTAGAACAAATTTGGGTCAAAGTCTCATGAGCCCCTCAGAGACCAAGCGAGGCTATTGTCCCTTCCCCCAACATGTGCCGCCAAAGGCTCTCGTCTCCAACCCCCATCCCATCCCTGCCCACAGGGGCTGAATATCTCCAGAGCAGAGGGTGTTTACAGGTGAGTGCCCTCACTCCCACCCGACCGGATGGCAGGAGACACAAAAACTGGTTGTCTCCTCAGGTGGAGCCTTATACCAGCCAGTTACCATGGTAACCTCCCAGGGTCAGGTGGTCACCCAAGCAATCCCCCAGGGAGCCATCCAGATCCAGAACACACAGGTGAGTGTGTGTGCAGCTGTGTGCACATATGCATGGGTGTGGGGGAGGGCAACCATGATCACTTCCCATCTGCTAGGCACTTTACACAAGTAACTCATTTACTCCTCATTATTATTCTAAGAGATAGCATCACTCCACTCTACAGATAAGAAACTGGGTGTTGGAAAGGTTTTATCAACTCCTGGGATTTTGCTGTCTCCAGGGTTACATCAAAGGCTGCTGCACTCTCTGCTCCTGGTCTTCTTCACTCAGCCACTCTGTAGCTCGATGGGACAGGACACATGCACAGGGGGGCCGGAAGAGAGTAAGAGAATGTGGAGTCAGAGGCCTGAGAGCTCACATGAACTCTGTGATTGTGGATAGACCACCTAATCTCTCTGAGCCTTAGAGTTCTTATCCACAAAAGGGGGATTAACATCAACTAACTGCACACAGCCCTACCAACCTACAGGGCTGCTGTGAAGACTCACATGGTAATAGACAGGAAGGCGCTTTGCAAGCTATAAAGTCCCCCAGGAATGCTAACTATTGGATGGTTTATGGCAAACTCACATTTCTTATACCCTCTGCATGGCTCTGCTTCCTCTGTCTCCTCTCTCGTTCCCTTCCCCCCTCCCCTTTCTCCTTTCTCTTCTCTTCCCTTCTCCATTCTCTGAGGGGCTGGTGTCAGGTGATAGGAAAGGTGACCTCCCAGGGCCCTAGAATGAGTTGGGAAGGGGGTTGGGAGAGAGAGCCTGCCGTCACTATGGCAACAGGTCCCTGGTTGCTGGCCCACCAGCCTGCTGATGCTGACTTTTTCTTCATGCTCCCTGAAGGTTAATCTTGACCTCACCTCCCTCCTGGACAATGAGGATAAGAAATCCAAGAACAAACGAGGAGTCTTGCCTAAGCACGCCACCAATATCATGCGTTCTTGGCTCTTCCAGCATCTCATGGTGAGTGTGTGTGTATGTACTGGGGTGTGGAGGTGCAGTGTGCCGTGTGAATATAACCCATTTGGTGCCAGATTCCATTGTCATCCCTAGGTTTACAGGAGGCGTGCCCCCAAAGAGAGGCTCTCTGATAGGGATATTATCTTCCAGAGGCCAGGTTGGAAGGGAGGCCTAAGTGGGACCTAAAGCTGGGAGACTTTCTTTAGTGCTTGCTGCTGCTGCCTCAAAAAAAAAAAAAAAAAAAAAAGGTTGACATCAAAGAAAGAGTGGGGCAGACAAATTCTGAAGAGAGTTAAGTACAGGGCGAGTGTATGGAATTGTTCTGTGAACAGAGTTCCTTGGGGATCAGGGCTTCCTGGCCCAGAACCCACTTCCTGCAAGCCTCCACACTCACCCTGTGGACGCTTCTCCTGAAGTAGAAAGCATTCATTCTCAGCCAGGACTCTTCTGTTCCCCGGACTCCTCACCGCTGGGGAAGCAGAAGCTGTGTGTCTCTTTCTCCCTTCCCAGAGCATCAGATGAGGTGCAGTGAGGGGGAGCCGTGGTTGAGACCGTAGACCCTGGAGGGGCAGCCAGGCTGAAATCCTGGCTTCCTCATGGAACCAGCTCGGCTCTGTGACACAGAGCAAATGCTTTCACAAGCCTCTGTGACTACTTCCGTGAAGTTGTGACAAAGCCCTAGGTTTAAATGTGATGTTTATAAAGTGCCTGCTATGTGCACCAACAAGATGGGAGCTATGTGTTTGTGTGTAGGGTTAGCTGCAACAAACAGGACTTTGGTTAAATGTCAGGAATGATTTCAAAACTACAGTCCCCTAGAGCCATCCAAGAGCCATCGCAATAAATAAAGGCCAGTGAGTGTATCTGGGCTGATTGTGTGTGTGCGTGTGTGTGTGTGTGTGTCTCCTGAGTAGTGAGGTAGATTCTGTGAGCACAGGCAGGCTCCCAGCAGCCTGCGAGTTCTTGGCCTGACCTGGTGGGATACAGACAGATACAAGACAAACACCAAGCTTGGGACCTGCGACGTGTGGGGAGAACTAGGAGTAAGGGAACTCTTTCTCAATGAGAAGGATCATGAGAATTAATCAACCAATTGGCCAGTCTGTAGCCCTTCATTTGAAATTGGAGTCCCTCCAGAAGCCACGGAGCCTAGGCCTAGGCAGTGGGTCTCAGATTCAGGGTCTTAGAGACTCTGCCCCCGAAGCGCTGTGCACCCAGTGGACGGAAAGAACTGCTCTGCGGTGATCGATGTGGGGCGGGAACTCTGCATCTCCCACATGTATCCCTACCCCAACTCTAAGGGCTCGGGGCTGCCCAGTGCTTTGCTGAGGGAGTGCATATTGAAAACACCCCTAGAGAACAAACAGTAACCTAGTTTGGAGAGAAGGGGGCTGGAAGGCTGAGGATTGTAGTGGAGAGAGGAGGTTGGAGCGACTCTCAGAGCCTAGTGGTAAAGCCAGGGATGTCCAGCCTCAGGCCTCAGAAATGTCCCTGACTTCGGAGCTAGAGCGCGTGGTAGGGATGCCCAGGTCTCCTGGCTGCTTTGGTTTCCACACTGTCGGAGAGCTGAAGGTCTCCGGTGGGGTCTGTGGCCCTGGGAGCCTGGTATCCACGCTACAGCTTCCAGCCTCGCCCGTGGGGAGAGGGGCCCCTGGGGAAGGATTCCCTCTGTGCACTGGCCTGTCGCACCCAAGATGGGGCAGCCTCCCCGCTCCATGGGTCTAGAGCTGCCTCCAGCACCATGTGGAGGTATGACAGGAAGGCCGAGGGTGTTGTAGAAGGCTCATGGGCTTTTGATGCACCAAACCTGGGCTCAGACCTAGGCTTTACCTCTTATTCTGTCACCTGGACACGTTTGCCTCTTGTCAAGATGATGATGAAGCAGTGAAATGATTGTCAAGACCGTGGCATACGGAGGTGCTTAGTACATGTTGGTTTCCCCTTTCCTTTTTCCTCATCTCCCACTGCCATGCACTTTCGAAGACTGATGTCGTCACATCAGTCTTTATTATTATTATTATTATTACTATGGTGACACTGATTAATGAAATCCAGTAAGTTTCGAGCGTACAGTTCAACAGTAAGGCCTATATATTTTGCATTGTGTGTTCACCACCCATAGTTAGATTTCTTTCTGTCACCACATATTTGACCCCTTTTATCCCACCTACCTGCCCCCTACCCCCCACCCTCTGGTAACCACTGGTCTATTGTTCTGTCCACGAGTCTCTGTTTGTTTGTCATGTTTCGAAGGGGAGAAAGGCAGGCATAGGAGGAAGAAGAGACTGTAAAATAAATTCCCCTGCCCAGAGTCCGGGCATCCAGGCCAGCGGCCCTCACCAACTCCCATCACCCGCTGTGGGCTCCACCTCAGCTACCATCCACTCCTCCTTTGAAGGTCACTGGCCTGAGACTGGACGATCTCCCACTGGTCCCTCCTGGCTGTGCCTCCGCTCTGACCGTGGGCCTCATTTCACATCCTACTCTCGCTGAGCCCTCTCTGTGGCTCAGGGTCTTTTCTTTCTAATCCATGGTCACTTCCAGCCGGACTTGAGATGACAGAGGAAGGTCAGTGGAGAAGAGAGAGAAGTAGTAACTGAGCACAAAGCAAAAGGGAAGAAAGGACCCACATCGGCTCCATAGTAAGGACCTGGGACAATGGGGAGGACTTACCGAAAAGCAAGAGTAAGACTTTCTGCCGGTACCTTCCCACCCCCTGGCCCCTCCCCAGCTCAGAGTGTGCTCAGAGCAGGTGCTATTAATAAAACACTTAACATTGGCAAAGTCCTCCCTCAGTTAATGCCTTCCCGCAGAAGCCATCAAAAGAGGACAGGGGAATGACCCCTGGGCCTTTAAAGTCAGAACTCGGAACTTTTGGAGGAGGGAAAGGAAGAGGATGGGGAGAAGTCTAGACTCTAGGGACAAGGAAATCTGGTGTTCCGATCTGTAACACCTGCTGATTTTACCATCATTCGAACCTAAGAACCTACCGACTTATACTGTTACTTCCCTGTTCTGTGTGGATGTGCGTGTCAAAGCTACACATCTTATGTCTCTGACTCAGTTATAAATTGCTCAAGAACGGGGAGCATACATTTTGCCTCTTCTGTGGGCCCTAAAGCACTGATTCCCAAAGTATGCATTTGTACAGGGCATTATAGTGTCGCTCCCAAGAAAGGGTTCCACGGTGAATAAGTCTGGGGAACCCCAGTTATTCAGATTAGCTTATTTATTTATTCTTAGTGAACTCGTGGACACTGTAAATTTGCAAGAGGGGGTATGGTCGAAGCTTTTCCCAAACATATTTGATCATTCTAAGTTTCACTATCTTGTTTCACTGTTGCTTCGAAGAACAACCTTCAGACTGTAGTTCTGAGGAAATACAGCTCTGTAGTGACACTGCATTGGACAGATAGTAGCTGTTTAGTTTTAGGAAAGGAGGGTAGAAAAGGTATGAAAAAGGGCAGATCTCAATATATAGTAGATGGTCTCATATCCAGTGCAATGAGGACAACGGATATGTTAATTGGTTAATTGGAAAAGCTGGTTAAAGAAAGGAACAACTATTAGAAAGACACATTTTACTTTACTTTAAAAGATATACATATATTTATTCACTAATCTCTTGATATTTGGTCAAGCTCTTTTTCTGATTAAAATCTGTCATTTTTCTTGCACAAACCTCTCTTACGATATCACATCTATAAGTTCCATCTTTATTTAAAATGGAATAAGAATTTTGACATTTGGGAAGTAATCTGGCTGCAGAATATTTCTAGATTTTTATTGTGTATTCAAGTCTCTTAACGTTTGTCTCACTGCTTCTAAGTATAAGACATTTTTAAGCAAATCGAGTCTCAAGTCTTTCCAAAGCATTCCGCTTAGTTTTTTTTTTAGAAGCAATAACTCTTTCTTTTTGCCTTCATATTTTATTGGTTTGAAGAATAGTTCATTAAATTACATAATTACAGTAGCACATATAACTGGCATAAACCAGTTTGGTACAAACACTGTTGACTTCCTGATAAACAGATAAATTGACTAATAAACATCCTGCAAAGTAGCCTATTCATCTCAAGTATTCAGGACAACGTGGACAGCAGTTCTGATGGTTTACAGAAGAAATGGAGAGCACTGTATAATCTGCAAACTTAGTTAACGGAGACTGGTTATTAGAACTTGTACAGTAAATACCGGTTTTTCCTGTTGTCTTCTTTCCCTCTGGCAGAAGTCAGTATTCTTTGATTCCTTTTGTCCTGTGTCTGAGGCTGCTTGTCATTGCCAGTGTTCTGTGGCAATGGCAGCTACAGAAGTGTATTCAGATGATAGAATGCTCCTGGGATGGAGACTAAACCCAGAGCCTTTTCGCTGTTAGGCTGCAGAGAGAGTGGATGGTTTCATCCATTAGCCGCTTGCTTCTGGGTCCCTGAAGAACCCAGTGATACTTTCTTGCTGTTGCATTTTGGCTGAAAGAGGAAAAACTCCCGCTGGAAACAATGGTTCCATAACAAACCCAGGCTGGGCAAGAAATGCTGGCAGAGGGTCCTCTCCATGGAGGGGAAAGGGGAGGGCTGCACTTCCTCCCCAGCTTCTGCTCCATCCCCTCGCTCTAGATCTCAGCCTTGCCCTGCCCTGCTGGACGATTCTGTTCATTTCCAACCAAAATATGACAGTTCTCTGGGCTGCAGCCACCCAAGTACATGAACAACTTTACAGGATACTCTGTGTGAGGCAGGTGGGGAATCCTACAGAGGAAACCAAGCCCCAGCAATCCCCTCACCCATCAAAGGAGCTACCCCTTCGTTAACCACTGCAGTGTGCTAGATGCATGCATGCTAGCATCTTTTTGCATCATCTTATGATCTACTCGGCCTCCGTAGGAGGCGGGCACTACTATTATCCACGCTTAACTCATAACAAAGCTAGATTTAAAGAAGGTAACACGTGCCCCAAGGCCCCACAGGATTTGAACCCAGGTCTATGTGACTTGCAGTTCTACTTTC